CTTATTCGCTGATGCAACTTTTCACTGTAAATGCTTCGTCTGTTGAATTTTTAATATGCTTACATAAACTGTCGGGTTCATTACAAAATAAATCTTGTTTCTCCCATGGCTTATTCTTTGGTATGTCACATATAAAACTTTTGATCAAACAAAAGTTTTCCTGTCATGCTCTAAAACGTTCACTTTTTTTAGCTTTTCGAGAATTTTTACAATGGAAGAAAGATAAACGTTGTTGGAGTATCTGAATCACAACCTTCGTGACTTGTGTAACATCGTTTATGAAGGTTTCGAACACAAAAGCAGAAGTCAAAAAGTTTTTTTCTGGCAAATATCTTTAATGAGACATAAAGAAGCCAATAAAGATATCTGATCATAATAGATAACATGTTTCTTCATTTATTCGTTAGTGTATATGCACATCAGATGATATCAAAGCGAAAATTTATTGAACATTACCATTACATAACAAATACTAATTAGTATTTTTAGACTTTTGCCGTGAAGTGAAATCTGGAGATCGGATGAATGCTAATTTTCGATGTTTTGGTTTCGGCTTTCTAGAATTAAATATTTTCTTATATGGATGATTATCTTTAGCAAGTGCCTCTGCCTTGCGCAGGATGTTATCCTGACCATTACAAAGATAGGAGTAAGCAATTCTGTTTCAAAAGGTCATCAACTATAATAAGGATGCTTGCTTCACCTTGAAGAAGTAAATAACCTCCAGTGCATGTCGCAACAACTTCATCTGAGTCAGTTGGGACGGGAAACGAAAGGAATCCCCTTCAATACCAAAGTAGAGCCCATCATCAACCAACTCAACACCGATGAGTTGGCCACACAGGGCTATGTAATGGAGAATAATAAGTATGATCAATATCATATTTTACATGAGACATCAAAGACATAGAGACACTAACCAGCGAACTGCAATCCAAAAATCACCGAGTTCTCGGCATCATCCTCTGATATATCTTGCCTCAAAAACTCATTGAGAATGCATTGATTTGTGCGAAGGCACTTACTACGATCCCTAACGGCCTTACTGGGAATCGTAGTTCGAGCACACTCTGAGTGACTCAACTCCAAATTTCGGCCATGGCATACAACCTTTAAGTCAATTTTGCGGCATGCGGATGCAGTTTTGAACACTGTCTCACCCCTACAATACAATAAATAATTAGACAAAATTAATAGGGTAATCTTATTAAGATCAATTCACACTTACCAACGGAGACAAATTATTTGCGTAACGTCAGAAAATACAATATCTAGGGTAGGTGCTATCATTCTCACGACATATTCCATTTCCGTGGGCTTTTCCGTTTGACCATCTTCACATACGAACACATATGGATTCTTCAAAAACATCTCCAGGCTAATAACAGAAACCAAAACTCAGTTTAGTAAATCAAATAAACAGAGTCGAAAGGGATGATAACATACATATTGAAGTATATTTTGAGAATTTGATGATACTTGACGCTGCTTGGATTCTTCATTTCGTCATAGATGAACTCTCGTGCCTCCCAATACTTACCGTTATTGCACATCTGGAAAAAAATTTTTTTTAGTGTTGTATCAATAATTTCTTCAGAATTAGTATACTATTTCCAAACCTCTTCTATGGTTTTCACGCTTTCATGAATGATGCCTTGAATTTCAATGGTGTGATGTTGAGCTGATCATAGACCTTGGCTTTCAGAATATCCCAATCCTCGCCAAAGAATGTCCACATGCCATTGGTAAATTCAGATGTGAGATCAACGATACCGGATAGGCCAAGCCTGTAGCTGAAGTTAGTAATTCTATCCAATGAGTTCAATCAATAAAGATATCATGACATATACCGGATGACACTCATTATGTATGCATCAGGTTTCTTGGCATTTTCTTTTGATTCCTTCAAAACTTTCATTGTGCCCCTTGCAAGCGCTGCTGTCACCAATTCACCATTTTTTAGCTTCCATTCTGAATCTTTCAGGGAGAAAGAATCATCAAACACAGAATCTGAAGCAATAATTTCATTATCACTGCCTTCTTTGTCCTCATATTCTTCATCTTCGTTATCACTTTCACTGCCACTGCCACCTTCATCAGTTGAGTCAATCCCCAAAAACTTCATTTTGAAATTCTGTATACAAGGATTAATAAGTTGGCTGTTCAGATTCTATCATATATTAAACATGTATATCAATACCTGAGTCCCAGCGTTCAATGCCCCTTCACGTTTACGCTTTGTAGAGTAGACATACTTAGGCGTGACAAACTGACAAACAAATTATTCAATGCACAAGAATGAACCAATATGTCGAATGGAATTCTATCAGGTAGCAATTATAGCAACGCACTTACAGGATTATCATCAAAACTGGCAAAAGCACGCTTTTTGCCAGAAACCTGCAAAGATGTACAATAATTTGAATCATTCCACTCATTGACATTATTCCAATTAATCATTTATATTACTACTATAAAGGCAATGAAGCAAACCTTATCAGACTCATGGTTCTTCCCTTGGCTAGTGTTGGCATGTGAATTCAATACATAATCTATTCGCACTTGTTCCTGGATTTTATGTACCTCATTACCCATTTTGAAAGAATTGGCAGCAAACTCGGCCTAAGTAACATGAACAAATTAATACACCCTCAGACTAAGATTTAAAGTAGATCAGTGACAGGATTACATACTTTTCCCAGTTCTATCTCATACTCCTTCAGCTTCTTCCCTGTCTCGATTTTTTCAATGTCGACTTGTATCCAAAATGCTTTCACTTCCTCTGCTTGTGCTTCATACTTAAAATAAAGAGGAACTAATTAGAAACTCTGTATCGAAGGCCCTGCAAACTCCAAAGCCCACCAGAGATAACTAGCCCAAGGCATACTCAGGCTGCTTAGGTGGGGAAAGACTGGGGATGGAGCCCACCGAAGACGTACTCCGTAACTAGCCCAAGACGTACTCGGGCCGCTTAGGTGGGGAAAATTTCTTGGGATGGAGCCCACCGAAGACGTACTCCGTAACTAGCCCAAGACGTACTCAGGCCGCTTAGGTGGTTGCATCGACACGTAGTCCGACTCCTTCCCTATCTCCTCGCCCATATAATAGATAAATTTACTTGCCTTTACGTCAATTCTGTCAGCATCAAGAATCCATTTCTTATCGGTGACGATTTCGGGTATACTCTCTAGAAACTTCGCGATTGCGAAATGCTCTTCACAAACGCTAAAGGAAAAATCACTCTTTTTTCGACGGAAACTTAATAAAGATAAAAGGGTAAGTTTTTCAGGATCCAGAGACTCTTGCCAACCAGTAAAATCTCGTTGTTTGAATGGTCTGTCTTTCTATATAGGGTTGAATAGGGTTGGTCGCGTTCCAGCAATTTTTTTTATGACCATTGCACCATGTCGTGTCGTGAAATCACTAAGCCACTATATGACGTCACATGTTGCCTGCCTTGAATAGAGGGATGCATGAATCATTTTATTGGTTGCGCATGACCGATTTCGTTTGTTTCATCACATTCGTTGATTTTAAACTAATGTAATGATCTAGTGCATTAATATGTTTTAGAATCCTCTTGCTGTTGCAGAAAGGAACGAATAACCTCCAAACTGTTTATAAGCGATAATGAATGAGTTTATTTACTCGGAATAAAATAAATTGTTACGCGAAAATTTTGGTCTTTATATAGACCGATCATCATAACTTTGGCCATTTCAAAGGGATTCCTTAAAGCAAGACATGCCGTTTAGTCGATTTAGCCACACGATTACATCACGTTTTTTGTTTTAAAATAAACGATTACATCACGTTTTGCTTGTTGTGGGGGAACGCTAAAGCAGGATAGTGTCAATTCGAATTATATAAATCCAGATCATGTCAATCTGAATTTATCTAATAATTAAAGTTGTACAATATATTTCATCATTATTGCAAGGTAATTTTTTTTGTTTCTGTTTTTTTGAATATTTGGAAGTGATTGACTGGTGAGAGAATAAAAATAATAAGGATAAAGATGAATAGGAGATAGGATATTAATTAAGAAATAATTATATCAATAATACAAACTTAAAAATACATTTGCATAAGAAATGCAAAAAAAAATAAATCTTATATTTTGAGCTGTATTTAAACTGCAAGAAATATTATAAAAATAACTTATTCGCTGATGCAACTTTTCACTGTAAATGCTTCGTCTGTTGAATTTTTAATATGCTTACATAAACTGTCGGGT